TAAAAGTGATTTGTACATAGCAAATATTTTTCGTCTGGGGCCTTCAAAATGCTCAAGCCGCCTCTGGTCGCAGGGATGGCCTGATGCGAGTAGGTGATGGAGCTCTCAGGAGATAAGGTTTGCTACGACTTGTGAGGGAACGTTAAAAAATCATTAGGTTATATTTTTGGAAAATTTTAAAATGATCATGTTTTTATCTTGTGAAACATTGTGAGTAATACTTGTGTCATTACCTACTTCTTGTATAAAATCTTGTATCATTCTTTTGTGTTATTATTACTGAAATTAAACCTACCCAAAAAACGTGACTATAAACATGTTGTGAATATATATAAGCTATCATTATAATGTTAAATTAAACGTAATCAATCACTCCATTACCTCCATATATAAAAAGTCATATTTTGTCTACCATCTTTATTTTAGTAATGCATAAGTTATTATTCTATTATTGTTCAATTTATTATTTCATGCTTCCATAAAATATTAGTGAACAAATTTATTTATGAAAAAATTATGAGTATGTTGTCATGAGCTCGATCTATGGTATAGATTATAGACTTGAACATTAACAATAGACATTAGAATTTATTATCATGATTAGTCTGTACAAAAAGTGTCATTTATCCATTTGCCTTATTTTGGTGATAAGTTAGTATGTTTTTACTTGGACCGTAATTTGCTGGTCTGGTCTGGTCTGGTCTGGTTTCTTTGTATTTTTATAACTATCCAAGGCTGGTCTGGTCTGGTCTGAACTGGTCTGGTCTGGGACGAATTACAGTCCAAGTAAATACATCCTTAGTCATTATTTTTTAATACCTTGGTCCCAATTTAAGCTTCTCATAAAAAATAGTAAGATTATTTAATCAATAACCAAATAAGGCAATTAAATTATATTTTGAGATTTTTATGGGTATATAACATAATGAAGACGTTAATGATAATTGTGATCGGTGTTATAAATGTACATAGTATAATTTTTAATATTTGATGATTAACTTGTCATTTAAAAGCGTTACTTATTTTCTGAAATAGAGATGAGAATGTTTAGATAGGCCGTCTAAAAGAGGCTCGTGAGAAACTTAAGTCGGAACGTAGGAAGTATTATTTTATAATACAATACATTTTATTAATGTATTTTGTTTTAGTAACATAATTGTACTACAGTCCTACACTCCTACGTACTACAGTTTTTTGTTTTCCATAATTGTAAAGTCATTGAAGGTAGAGTTGGTTAAAACTAGAGGAAATTGCGTGCGTCTATGAACACTAGAGATTTTTTTTAATTTTTATTTTTAGGCAATGAGTTTGCCATGCCATAAAAAAATACGGAGTAATAAAGATTTTTTTTCTAAAACATTATTAAAATAAAATTTGTAAACAAAAATTCAGATGAATACTCAGTATATAGTCATTTAAAATACCATCATATATACTACGGAGTATATGTACGTAATATTGAATATCATCATAATCACTGGAATCATTGTGTGGATAGCACTATATATTTATTGTCCCAATCTTAAATAATACCTAATTAATCATTTAGTTATACTAATTTCAACTAAATCTAAATATACAATAATCATTAGCAGTATATTGTAGCAATTTGATAACGTCAAATATCTAAACCGGGCTGTTCAGTATTAGATCGGGAAAACTGTCAAATAAGTCCTCAAACTTTCATAAAAAGATCAATTAAGTCCTTCTATAGGAGACTCTGTCCGGTCGTCGTGATTAGGGATGGTTCGCGGTGGAATTTTTTGAGCCTCTTATTCATCAAGTCTAGTTTACTCATACCAATTTCAGCTAAATATTTAATCGGGAGCGCATTCAAATTAATTCGAGAACGCAATAATGTGCAGTTATATTCAAGAATTAATTTGAATGAGTTCCTGATTGAATTTTTAGCTGAAATTGGGTATGAATAAACTAGACTTGGTGAATAAGATGCTGAAAAAATTTCATAAAAAAATTCCACCGGGAATTGCCCCAAATCGCGACGGCCGTACCGAACCTCTTATAGAAGGACTTAATTGACATTTTTATGAAAATTCGGACCTATATATTTGACAGTTTTCCCTATTAGATATGAGCAGATTCTTGAGCAGATTCTTCATTTTGTTGTAAGCTTGACTTAGAACGGTTTACGATTTCTTATTTATAATCAAAAACGTCAAATATCTAATATATATAAATCCAAAATAATGATAGTATTGTTGGGTGTGTTTCGGAAAATAAAGAAAATTAATTAAAATAAATTAATTAAATAAAATGACTAGAGAAAAACAAGAAAGGAGATGAAGCAGAATTAGCCAAAGCTCGTGCTACGCACGATTTCCTAAAAACGTATTTGTTGCCTCCCACGGTGCTAGGAGCGTTGCAACAATCGTTTCCCAGGATACGATGACTACGAACTAATGTTTGAGCACACAAACAAGAGTTGCAGCGAACGAGAACCAAGTATGAACACAGAAGGATTTTTGGGAGTAGCTGGAAGAGTTTTTAGCTCAAGAAAACGTGAGGAAAGTGTTGTGCGTTGTCAAACCGTGTGTTTGTTGCAAAGCACCTGCCAGCTATTTATAGGAGGATTTGTTGTGTGTTAAATGGGGTGTTAATGGACCTGAACGTTGGACATCAATGACCAGTCCGTCGGGCATTGAATCGTCCATAAACTGTCCATTTAACGCAGCATTAAAAGAGAAGAACGTTGGGCATTAATTGTTGTAACGGAAGAAATGCGCGGCAGAAGACCCCAACAGAACACCCCTTGGAGGGGTTCTGTCCGAAGCCAACAGAACTCCCCTTGGAGGGTTTCTGTTCGAAGCCAGCAGAACACCCCTTCGAGGGGTTCTGTTCGAGGCCTTCTGTCCGGAGCACTTCTGGGAAAAAAATAAACGTTTCGGGAAGAAAACAAAAATTAACTATATCTCTTGAGAGATAGATTTTTGGACGGCATTCGTGTCCGCAGGTCGCCCGCGCACACGAGTCGCGGTTTTTCTTCTCCGTTTCAGGTTTGATCGGCACCCCCCCTGCGCGTAAGAGAGAGCCTTTCCCTTTAGGAATCTTAACTCCTTAAAAGAGGCTTCCCTTTATAAGGGGGTGAAAATCCCTTGAGTTTTTCGGTGTGGGATAAAACACACTAGAAACTCATCATTTTTCCCAGTTTTTCCATTTCAACGAGTGAACTTCGAGAATCAATTTCTCATTCACCCGTTATCCGTTTTGAGCGTACCATATATCGAATTGTAGACCTTAACAAGGACAATCCGAAACCACTTTGACCCGACCCAAATCGGAAGTGGACCCCACTCAAATAATTGCCCCAAAATGACCATTTAATGCAATTTTTAACACATTTTTCCAACAAGTATAACTTAGTTGATCTGATAGGATGTCTACTACAAATACTTACTCTCAATATACTACGTATATCCGGTGGATGACCTAGGGGAGTAGGGGGTCGTGGGGGGCAAGTGCCCCGCTTCCGGCCCCAAAATTTAGTATTATTATTATGATAAAATTAGTTCCCCCGCTTCTTAATATAAAACTATGACTATTAGATAATGTAATAATTGTCTAAAAGAGCATATGTAAATTGTTGTAAGACATTTAAATGACTACGAAGTTATGATGAAGCGATTTCATACAATTAGACATGTTCTTGACACGGTCATTTTTTGAAAAGTGGCATTGGAGGTTATTTTTTATGAAGTATGAATTATCTTTTTCCAAAACTAGAAGTCAATAATATGACGAGACTTGTAATATGTGTGGTGAGTTTAATATATGGATTTAAGATTATCTCAAATGAAATTTCATACACATCATATATTCATTGTTTTCTTACCAATTACAATTAGTTGTTATGGTAATTGCACAAAAAGAAGTTTGTGGATACTTTTTTTTTATATTTCTCTCTGGTTATGATATTAAAATGTTGAGAATCTCTTGTAAAATAAAGAGGTATTCTAACAAAAACGTCATGATACCATAAGAGAGTTATTAGAAAAGGGTGTAGTAGTGGCAAATTGGAGATGATTGAATCAAGAAATTAAAGTAGTTTAGCTCCGCCGGGAATGACATGTTGGGGTTCACAATTTAATCCCAAGTTGACGAAGGATTTTGGAACACTATAATTCTGTGACACGACGTGTAACGTTGGACACTATCCTAGTTCTAAATCAAAATTCTGATCGTTTGTAATACAAAAACAACTTGAATGCTTAGCCAAAACCAGAAATGGTGCTAGGATGATTCAGTTCTAATTCATATGAAGTACTACGTATTATGTTTTTCTTTCAAGAAATTGAATATTATTATTTAGAATTGTTTTAATGGGTTTAAAAGTAGATCAGTTGTACATAGATGTACATCATTTGAATTGTTTAAAAAATTGTTTACACATTGAATAGATTAGTCTCACACCCAACTCGACCCGTCTCCGTCCATACAGTAGTGCCCCTGCTTGAGAAAAGTTCTAGGTCCGCCACTGGGTATATCTCAAGAGCTTGATATTATTCGAGGTTTATATCAATCATTAAGTACTCCAAAAGTATCTGTTAGTTTCGCCCGATCAAGTTTAACTTAGCTTTTCTTATAGTTTTTCTCTTAATTGTTGTCAAGTCTTATCTTGATCTGTATCTACTCATAATGATTTGGATCTACTTATGATGTTTTCTTTTGTGTTTTAGTCTTAGACCAGATCAAATCAGACTTCCATAGTTTACCAAATTAGACAGACCAGTCCAATAGAAAATGTCATAGGCCCTGATTAATGATTTTAATCCCTCCTAAGCCAGTAATATATGCCACTATATTTATTGGTACCTATATATAATAATCTTTGATTATTACGTAGTACTACGTATATCCTTATTTTCAAGAAAGGCCACAAATAAACAATTCATATAATTAAACTGAAGTAGTACGCATATACTAGTATGTTTTAGATCAATTAGATGTATATAAAGGGAGTAGTTGATTAATGATTAATGAACCTGGGGAAAGTATTGTTTTTGACAGCCTTCTGACCATATTTCCTCCATCTATAACCATCATCAAGAATATCAACTTGGCTCCTAGTCTGGAAGGCATACCTGCCGCCGCAGCTGGACTGCTTGTTCTTCTTCTTCTCAGGTTTCTCCTCCAGATCCTCGCTTTGCACTTCCGTTTTGGGAACTTCCGTGCTGAAAGGCGCGTGTGGTGGGGACGACATAGAAGAAGACGATGAACATGGAAACGACGACGTTGATGGATATGCCTCCATGATCGATCCAGTTAATTATATATATATGGGTTTTAACTCTGTATATTAAGTCTGAATTAAGAGGACGGAGAAGAATGAGAACGAGGACAGGTAATTTCTATATATATACTTCCTTTACTTTACAACAACATCATTACCTATAATGGGATAAGGAGACCGGTGTAAACCTTGTTCCTGTACTAAGGCACAGAGAAAGGCACAAACATGAATAGTTTAGTAACTCATTTTGCTTTATTTTATCAATATTTGATAATGATAATTAATGGAGTATATGGGCTTGGATCCCAGGACCCACATACTCAGAAGAATGAGAAGCACAGTTGTCACCCAGTGGGGCCTCCGTCGGCCGGATGACCCCCCATCGGCCAGAAAGACATCAACTTAGAATATGGTCTGAAAGTCAGGAGAACCGGTTGTGCCCGTCGGCCGGGATTCCGTCGGCCATGACCGCGTCGGCCATGGCTCCGTCGGCCACGAAAGGCTCCCAGAACCGGATCTTGTATTTAGTCATTTCTACATATCCTGTACTCAGCCCAATAGTGACCCAAATTATCCTGTACTCAAGACTTGGGAGCCTAACTCTAATTTCCTCTATAAATACTCCCCTTGGGAGTAGTTGTAGGAGGTTCACAAATCATTAATACAAAGCAATTATAGCACTTCTCTCTCTAGCTCTGACTTCTCTCTAGGAGTTAATACTCCATCAACAATATTTTTTCATGATATTAGAAATGAAACAAAGTATTTTGGATTTTTTTATTTATTTCTATTTTGAGTTGAGAAATTTTACAATATCACACTGTAATATTACTAAATTTGTTTCAGTGTGAATATCTCATATACGGAGTAGGTTTTTTTAGTTTTACTACTACATCCGTCCCAATTTACTTAGCCATCTTTGACTTTTCCAGTCAAAGACGGTAAACTTTGACCAATTATTTAAACTAATATATTTATGCAAACTTAATAATTTTATACTTTTATGATACTCGTAGTATTTTTAACAAAGGACATTTTCATATCATTTTCATATTATTAATATTTTCTTTATATAAACATATAATCGGTCAAAGTTAGACGTCATTGATTTGAAAAGTAAAGTTTGGCTAACTAAAATGGGACAGATGAAGTAGTAGATATCTAAATATTTAATTAGTTAATATGGTGGCTCGATCAAGGGCATAATGCAATACTCCGTATTTTTACTGAGAGGCGGCTGCTCTGTCCTACTTTTCTCTAGTTAGGTTGATGAGCATATGTGAGAAATACTTTTCGTGTCAAAGTAAAAGTTTGACTCTTATAATCCCCGTGTTCACTTTTGTTATAGAATATAAACTTCAAACAATACACTACTTTCTCTCTTTGTAACGTGTGAATGGATATAAATTCAATAAGCATGGGATAAATTTCAACCTAAAAAGGTGTAATCGCCCACCGTCCCTTACCTCGATGGTTGTGCAGACAAGAAGTCACTACATTCGATGGCGTATCCAAGAAATATGGCGAGTGGGGGCAAACTTGCTTACTTGCACTACAATTAAGTCTCGTATTTCACAAACAACAAATCACATTAGTAATATTGTTTGATTAAATTTAGTTTAAGATATACATGTGCAAGTATGAATAAAAAGAAAATTAATTTATATTACGAGTGTGTAAAGATGCAATTGAGGATAAAAGTTTAGAAAATTACATAAATATAAGTTAAACATAACAAAATTTAGTAAATTTTTAGCCTTTAATTCTTTTTAATATTCAAGAAAACACTCGTAATCCTATTTTAGATTTTTTTATATTTAACTCTTATATTGAACAATTGTTTTTAAAATTTTAGATATATATAAGGGTTGAGATAGGGTTGAGTTGGGACCAGGAGCGGAGCCAGAGCACTGAGCCAGATTGAGCCGGTACAAAAATTATTATTGGAAAAAAAATTACACGAAATTTTTTACATTAAAAATATTGACATTTTTTAAATTTGGGGTGGATCAGGATCTGAGCACCCCTGGCTGGGGCCATAGTGGCGTCGCCACTACGACATTGAATAAAACTCTCATAAGACTGATAAGAGAATATGTTTGATTAGTCTGTCATATAGGCGCGCTAATACTCCTAATAAACTTTTAGCTTTATTGATCAATAATGTTAAGTTTGATGACATGTAAATGATAGTTTGAATACAAAATCACTCATATTATCAAAATGTTCTTTATTTAAATATTTTCTTGCAAACATATAAGCACACATCGTTGCACAAATTAAATGTACCATTATTGAGTAAGAAATTAAAGACAAAGTGCAAATTGTTGTGGGTCGCATGGAGCAACTATGGGCAATATTTGTGAAAACTCGCACTCCCAAGAACTTATAGTCTTATATGATGCTTTGTTGTGAAAACTCGCACTCCCTTAAAACTTTGTCATTTTTCCTTTTTTGGACGTCCCAAAAAACTTTGTCACTTTCCCTTTTAATCAATTATTTTGTGGTTTCTGTTATTTCTCTCTCCTCTGCACAAACATCAACCACACAGTTTTTACTTTATTATTCTCCGTGCCGATCAACTTTGCCAAAGTTTTAAGGGACGGAGGTAGTATGTACTCCGTATCAATTTAGTGTGGGGTAAATGTTTTAACAAGTTCTGCTAATTCAAATCGAATTGAACAATATCAGAGTGTATAAAACAAATGAGCTGAATAGACTCTTAATAATGGATGCTAAATAACAATTAAACCAAACACTACAAAAAAACAAGGGATTGACATAGATATGCCAAATCCGTGTCAAAAACACTTTGGCATGAGCTATTTGGCACGAAAAATTGGTAATTTCGTGCCAAATTCCGTGTCAATCCCGTAATTTTTTTGTAGTGAAAATATGATCAGAATTTGATACCATATTAACTTATTAAGACTCATTGTTCATCCTTAAAAGTAAACCTGATAAGAGTAGACTAAAATTTTATATACTATGTAGTATATTATTATACTCCGTATGATACTAATCTTGTGTAAGATAAGTACTTCGACATTATTTCTTGGAGTTTTACACAAAAATAAAGCTAAGTATGGACTATGTTTTTCCTAAACTAGTTGATGGATCGTCGAACTAGGGGTAGCCGGAATCCGAGTAAATAATAGAAAAGAGCTGTTCGAAAAGTTCAGATAGATATTTCTGCAGAGTAACAGTTAGAAAATACAAATTGCGATCCATTTCCACAAGCTGGAAGGTGATACTTATACTGAAAAGGTAATACTTGATGCCCAAGTAAAAAGATGTTGAACTAATAGGGAGATGACGCGTGTCCTAGCTATTCTAACAAACTAATTAACAGTCTAAGTCGATGGGGAGCAGCTACGTGTAAAAGTGATTGGAGAGATAGACTGGAACAACTAGCTGATTTGAACTGCTCCAACAAACTGATACCTGAATGCCCGTGTGACTACACGTGTGTGATCCAAAACATTCTTCCTGTCCGCTGCTAGGAGTGACATGGCGGTATTCCTCTGGGTCATTTATCTTCATATATTTTGTCTAAGTCCATAATGCCTTGATTCCGTCTGGAGACTCGGGCTCATCGACGGGGAATGTGTATTCCGTCCCTGGTTCCGTCTTTGAGGTCGTTGACTCCCGAGTTTGATTCCGATTGACTTTGCGTTGATGCCCGAGGTCGGAGTCGGTGCCGAGCTCGGTGCTTTCGAGGTCGGGCTCATAACTTGTCGAGTTCGAGCTGTTCCCGAGCTTGGTATTTTCCCGACCTCGGGGGTCGAGGCCGGGGTCGACTGGTTCTACGGCCCTTAGTCGTTTCACTGCTTGGCATTTCGTCCCGACCTTGGTGGGTCGGGGTCGGTCTAGTTGTGGACTCAACATTCTTGTGCACTCCGGGTGGATCCGTGATGCTTATGCCGGTGATTACGATACCCCTAGGGTATATGGGAATATACTCCATCACTAGTACTACATCGTCCCGCTAACATTGCGACATGAGAGAATGACACGGTTATTAAGGAAATGTAAATTGTAGGGGAAATGGTAGGAAGAAAAATAGATGGCCGTAGGGGTTGGTTTGATGGTCCGTCAAAACCCCTCTTTCAATAGAAAAATACGGAGTATAGAAGGCCGCTGGGACGGGGAGAGAAAGAAGAGGTTGCAGGGTTGGCTTCTAGCACGCCGGCAATTTTCTCTCTTAGCTTTCACGTCGGAATTTGCTTGGTAAAAAAAGTGTAAAAAAAACCTTACACATACATGTGTAAAAAGTATGTACACAAAAAATTGTGTACCTTTAGAATTTTTCTTTCGGATTCTTCAATTAATTTATACGAGGGTATTTTGGTATGTTACTTCAAATTTTTTTTATCAAACATTCTAATTTTTTACCTTTTCACTTTAATCACTTCCCTTTTAAAACACTCCCAACTTTTTGTTTTAAGCACTTTGTTTAAAATCATTTTAAAAAATCACTTTTTAAAGCAATCCCAAACGAATCAGACTTGGAGTACACAATTTGTGTACACACTCTTACACACTCATGTCTGTGAGACGTTTTTTTATACCTGTCCCAGACAAAACGTATTTTTCAAATATGTTTTGTCTGAGACAGACATAAAAAAAGCCTTCACAGACATGAGTGTGTAAGAGTGTGTACCGATAGTGTGTATCAGTATTTTTTCATCCCAAACACTACCGTAGTAAAGTCATCACATGTTGCGGCGGCTTGGACAAACAATTCATGGTCAAAGAAAGCGGGACTAATCGGGTGCACACGGTTGCAGCTATTCCCTCAGCTAGGTGTGGAATTTTGTGGACAAAACTAATCGCTGTTTTGATTGTCTAAGAAAAGAAAGGTCACATTTTCCACACACTCGTTCTGCGTCCGGTCAAATTTGGCTCAAGGGAACGACTCAAAGATGGATAGTCATTGTTGTTTGAAAGCATCATGCTTCCCAAGTTTACAACTTTTCAAAGCTACCTTTTTGTTTTTATAATGATGACGCCATAAAATTTACATTTTGAAATTCAAATGATTGTACATGTGCTTGAACTTGTGTTATACTCATGTGATGCA